CAGACATCCTTGAAAAAAACGCCTGGTTCGCTCGAGACATCCTCGAACGAATACTTGGAGTCATCTTGAAAGCTTTCTCGGAGATCCTCTTGGAATTCGTTTGAAATCGTTGAAGATCCAAGCTCCAGTCGAGATCCCCCTCCCCCTCCTCCTCCTCCTCCTCGACCTCCTCCTCCTAATCCTCCTCCTTCCTCCTCCTCCTCCCCGCTCCTCCTCCCCCCCTCTACTCCCTCCTCCCTGCCCCCTCCTCCCTCCTCCTCCCTCCCCCTCCTTCCTCCTCCTCCTCCGCCCCCCCCCCCCCCCCCCCCCCCCCCCCCCCCCCCCCCCCTCCTCCCCCTCCTCCTCCTCCCCCCCACCGCCTCGCTGCGAGCATCTGGTTCGCCTGCGTGCCTTGGAGCGGCACGGCCTCCTTGTTCTCCTCGCGGAAGCGCTTGTAAGCCTCGGAGATGCAGTAGATGCACTCGTAGGGCCCCCACTTGCTCGGGCACTTGTAATCCTTGTGGGGTCGGCCTTGACCTTCTGGAGCCACTCCTGCTCGACCGCCCAGTGGATCTCGCTCTTGACCTTGCGGATCGCCGCCTTGAGCTGGCTGTGCTCGCGGGCGTCGGGTTATTGGAGGAAGCTCGTCACGTCTGGGGCCATCGGCGCGTAGACGATGTTCTTGAGCCAAGCTCGGAGCGTCACGCTCTCGGTCCACTGGCTCGACAGGCAATCTGCGAAGACGAGGGCTTGGCCGTGCTCTTGCTCGATGAATACAATGGTCCAGCTTGCAATGAGCTCGTCCGCCCAAGCTCTCGGCTGGCCCCAGATGTCGATCTGCTCGAAGATCTTGGCGCGCTCCTCGGGGTCGAACTCGAGGAGGGCTTGGCGCCAACCCTTCATGATCGTGCCGATGTTCTCGCCTGCTCGGAAGACCTCGGCCTCGCCGTCGCTCCGCTCGTAGCGGACGTCTCGGAGCCAGGTGCCATTCTCGAGGTTCATGTCGGAGATCTTGCAGCGCCTCGCGCACGGGACTAGGGGCGCGCTGCGCTTCTTGGCCGACCTCGGTTCCCGGCTCGGGTCGAACCACCCCTCGACGCCCGAGACGATGAGCGTGAGCCTGTGCTTGTCGCCCGCGCTCGAATGCGCTTGGTCTACTTGCTGCTTCTTGTCGCCATGCTCCTCGTAGAACTTCTCTCGCTCGGCCTCCCAAGCTGCCTTGTCTGCCCCGGCCTGCGTCTCGCGGAACTTGCGGCGGAGCTTCTGGATCCGAGCTTTGTGGCTTGCGCTCTGGAGCTCGGACTCGTGGAGGTAGACTTTCTCCTCGCCTCGGAGCTTGAGCCAGAGCGCGGTGGCGTCGACGACGACCGCGCTCGCGTCTCGCCTGCGCTCGGCGAAGGCCTCGGCGTCTGCGACGAAGAGGCTGAGCTCCTGGGCGCTGCCCCTCGCCACGAGGTGCTGGAACCTGTCGGCGGTGGCCCAGGTTAGCTTGGCCTTGCTCTGGGAGAGGGCATTGTTCTTGCTTTCCGAGAGGCGCTGGCCCTTGTGCCCTGACGCGCGCAGCCTCGGGAGCGCGACCTCGTCGATCCACTTCTGGTCCTTGCGGGCCATGTTGTTGATCTTGAAGGTCGCGAGCCGCTGGGTGAGTCTCTTGAGAATCTCGGGGTTGTACCAGGGGTGGCTCGTGTTCTTGAGATGGAGCTGCTTGTCCTTCTCCCACTCGAGCTCGTACTTGAGCCTGGTCAAGACCGTCTTGTGGCGAACCTCGTGGCCGTGCATGTTTTCCCGCTTGAACCAGGTCTCGAGTCGGCCCATGACTCCCTCGAGGGGGCGCTTGGGGCACGCCAGGCCAGGAGTGAAGTTCTGCAACCTCGCGCCCTGGCTCTTGTCCGGCCCTGCCTGACGCGGCCGGTATCGGCCGCAGGCTCGGATGCCGCTCTTGCCGAGCCTCGCCGTTGCGACCAGCTTCTCGAGAGACGCTTTCTTCTTGTGCCAGTTCTTGACTGCCTCGTAGGGCCAGCGCCACTTCTCGGTGAGCTGAGCCTTGACCCCGACTGGGAGCTGGGAGTAGTCCGCGAGCTCGTGCTTGTCGGCCTGCTTGCACCAGTCGAGTACGATCTGGAGCTTGCACTGCGCGGGCGGGTCTCGGCGCAGGGTGGGAGCTGCTCGGGGCTTGTGCGCCCCGTGGTAGTTGCGACTCGAGCCCTCGGGTCTGCTGCCCTTCTTCGGCCCCCGAGCGACGCCTCGGCCGATGTCGTCGGGGTCGAGCACCTCCCCCTCGGCGCTCGCCTTCGCTCGGCGCTCAGCAGCGGCTGCGAGGCGCTCCTGCTCGGACTTCTCCGCCTCGAGCCTCTTCGCCTCGAGCTCTTTGAAGAACACCGTCTTTGCCTCGGGAGACAGGTGAGGCGAGCTCCTGAGCTTCTTGTGGGAGCTCGGGGATTCCACCGGACTCGAGCTTAGTCCCTATAAGCTTGACAGGCTCGACTGCCGCTTGATCGGCGTGCTCATGTCGACTGGCGCTTGACTGGCGCGCTCGAGAGGCGAAACTTCTGCGCGGGTGGCGTGCTCGAAAGGCTTGGGGCCAGAAAGGCTACGGATCTTGTCCTTGCGGAGCTGCTGCTGCTTGAGTCCTCGAATGCGTGCCTGCATCGTTTGAGAACTGTTGCTGTTGTTCGCTTGAGACGCCCTCGAATAAGAAAAGGAAGGGCAGGCCAAGGGTAGGCCCAGGGTGGGCCTAGGGTAAGCCCTAGGGGTAGGCCTGGGGTGGGCCTAGGGGTAGGCTCTAAGGGTAGGCCCAGGGTAGGCCTAGGGATGGGCCTAGGCGTGTAGGCCTAGGCCCATCCCTAGGCCTACACGCCGAGGCCTACCCGCCTACCCATTCCTTCTGTTGTCTCGCCATCCCTAGGCCTACACGCCTAGGCCTAGGTACGTCCTCGAGCAACTTCTTGTTTCGCCTGAGACATCCTTGAACGAATCTCTCGTTTCGCTTGAGACATCACCCGGGTGACTCCAACCTAAGACCCATGGAGGCCCAACCGGAAAGAAAAAAAAATGGGGCGCGCCGAAGAACCCAGGGGGTCCGGTTTCCGCGGAGGAAAGAAAAAAACCCTGGCGATGGGATTCGAGCACGGGGGTTACCCCCCCCTCAAATTCCGGAAGAGGAATGAACTCCCAGCCGCGGGGGTGCCCGCGCGAGGGGTCCCACCCCCCCAAGCGCAACCAGAGGAAGAAAAGCGTGAGAGCCGAGACTGTAAGTGAGAGTCCAGCTGTTATATGATACCAGCTGCACTCGAATATTTGCACGGCAGGACAACGTGCTCTCTAGGAACAACTGCGCGATAGGACATGATAGTACCAGTTGTACTCAAGTACGAGTTGTACGGTAGTCGGAGGGGTTCAGGGGTTCCAACGGCAACGCGCGCGGGGAAGAAGGAAAGAAATCCATGCGCCGCCAGGGGTCCCGGGTTTAACGGGTCGCCGCGAAGGTTGACCCCCCGCGGAAAGAAGAAAAGAAATCCGGCCGGGGGGTTGGGGGGTTGAGGGATGAGTCACGGGGGCGATCTTGAGACCTCCTCGGCCAATCTCTCATTTCGCTGGAGACACCCTCGAGAAATTGCTTGTTTCGCTTGACACATCTTCGAAACAAAAATCGTTTCGCTTGAGACATCTTCGACAAATCTCTCGCGTTGCTTGAGACACCCTCGAGTATATACTTGCTTCGCTTGAGACATCCTCGAGGGTTCTCTTGGGGTTCTCTTGAATTCATCGAGTGGGAGCCTCGATACTGGGCCACTCGACATTTTTCTTCGCGCCCAGCCTCGGTTAGCTCGCAAGAGTAGCGCCTCGGCCATCTAGAGTGCCCCACTCGACTCAACCCTGGCCTCTCTCGACTGAAGCTCGTCGTCCTGGAACTGCGTGGGCTCGCCTGGCTGGAGCCGCTCGGCTGTCTTGCCGCGCGCGAGAGAGGCCCTCCACTTGTTCTCTTGGGCGGGGTCGAGCTCGGTCTCGACCTCCGTCTCGGTCTCCGCCCTCTGCTGCTTGACGTCGGTCTTGAACGCAGTCTCGATCTTGAGCTCCGTCTCGATCTTCACGGCTGTCGGCTTGGACTTCCTCGAGTTCTGCGTTGGTTTTTTTCACGACAGAAGGCTTGGGCTCCCTCGGCGCCTGCGCTGGCTTCTTGGAGACAGTCGTCCGCTTGGCCATGTCGCCAGCAGCGCGCCCGCTCCAGGTGCGTTCCTCGCTCGTGCTCGAAATCCTTGATCCAGAGTGAACCACGGGAAGAGACATCCTCGAAAGCACTCTCGCTTCGCCTGAGACATCCTCGACAAAACACTTTTTTCTCTTTGCATATCTTCGAAATTATGCGTTACTTCGCTTGGGAGATCCTCGACAAATAGCTTGGTTCGCTTGAGACGTCCTCGACATAATTGTTTGTTTCGCCTGAGACCCCTCAGGCCATTGATACATTTGCTTGAGACATCCTGGAAAGAATTTGATGCGTCGCTTGAGACATCCTCTGCAATTCTGTCGCTTCGCTTCAAATGTCCTCGAGCCATTTTCGACGCACGATAGGGACATCTTCATTGTTTTCTCGAAGCACTCTGAGCGCGCGCATCTAACTCGAGCGCCCCTCGGGTATCCACAAACTGTGCGTGCGTTCGTAGGGCGCCCTGGCTTGCGCCTCGGCGTCTGAGGCTGGCTCGGTCGTCCCAGTGTCGGGGCTCGAGAACACTACGTAAACCTCGGGTTCCTCTACTAGGCGCTCGCCCTCCTCGGGCACGAGCTTCTGGCGCTCGGTGTCCTCGTCGTCAAGCTCGTCGGTCTCGCTCTCGGGCTTCTCTGGTGTCTCGGGCTCTCGGGACCTCGGGCTCCCGACCTCGTCCTCGGACTCCGCGGGCGTCTCGAGTTCGTCTCGGTCTCGTCCTCGCTTTTTCTCGCCGCTGCTGCTGACGGCCTGGAGCTCCTTCTCGCGGACCTCGAGTTTCTCGGGCGTCTCGGGTTCCTCGAGCTCTTGGCGCTTG